TAAAACAATTAATGACGGTATACAAATAAAAGGCTGATTTTAATAATGAAGTTGTAGTGCACTGATAATATCATAATAAATGTTAATGACAACACAATACACTTTTGTTTAAGGTTGGTGAAGGTCATGAGAAGACGAAGGAGAGCTCTGAGTACCTGAAGTACCTCACACAGCAGGCTGTGGCTCTACAGAGAACCATGAACGAGATCTACAAGAACGGATCAAACGCTAGCATAATGCCTCTCAAAGTCAGTCACACCTTAGCTGTCCTGGGCCTCGGTGGCTAAACATTGTTACATCTTTTCAGGATCTTTGTTGATGGTTTATTTTTCTCTCTCTATAGTTTACGGCACCAAACATGGCCAGTGTTCTGGAACAGCTTAATATCATCAATGGCATCATCTTTATTCCTCTCAGGTGAGTAAAAGTTTACACCGCTTTGTTTTAGTCGTCAGTTTAAAGTCAGTCATGTAAATATTTTGTTATATAATTGTAGTCCATTTTTACCTGAGTGAAATGGCATATAATTATTTTACAAAAACTTTAGATAAACTTTAACCGAACATTTTGTTTTCAAACAAATGTTTTTTTTTTTTAAACATTTAAGCATATAAAAGATTTTTCAACATAATCATAACACAACGTGTAATAACTATCCTTGTGAGATATGCATACTATATATATATATATATATATATATATATATATATATATATATATATATATATATATATATATATATATATATACACACACACACATACATACATATATACCGTACATACATACATACATACACACACACACACACACACACACATATATATATATATATATATATATATATATATATATATATATATATATATATATATATATATATATATATATATATATATATATATATATATATAGCCATTCAAAAGTTTGGGATTGTATGATTTTTTTTTTTTTTAAAGTCTCTTATGCTCTAATTAATTGGATTAAAAATACCACAAAAAAATTATATTGTGAAATATTTTTAGTATTTTAAATAACTGTTTTCTATTTTAATATATTATAAAATGTAATTTATTCCTGTGATCAAAACTGAAATTTCAGCATCATTACTCCAGTCTTCAGTGTCAAATTCAGCTTTGCATTACTGGAATAAATTACATTTTCAAATAGAAACCCTTTTTAAATTGTAATAATGTTTCACTATATTACTGTTCCATACACACACACACACACACACACACACACACACACACACACACACACACACACACACACACACACACACACACACACACACATATATATATATATATATATATATATATATATATATATCTCCATTCAAGCCATTGATTTCTTCACACAGCCAAAAAGACCTGGAAAATCTGAAGGCCGAGGTGCAGAGACGGCAGCTGATGCAGGATTCTGGAAAAATTGAGGAGCAGCAGGGTAGTCAGTTAGAGCTGGATGACAAGCTGCCAGTGGATGATTAACAAACCCAACCATACAGCCCCTCTCCATATGAGGAGGACACGATGCAGCAGCCATCTGTTTGAAACTGTGGACCTGAGAACTGAGCTGTCTAATCTAACCAATTCAATTTGAGCATAATGGGGAAGGGAGGACCAGGAACAGGCGACAAATAAAGTGTACAGAGTGTAGTTTGTAGCTATAAAGAGAATGAAAGCAGATGTTTTACACGTGCAATTCAACAACATGACCCCTCGAGGTCTACCAGAGGAGAAAGCAGGAGAGAATGTAGTCCTTCCTCTGTGAGTTTGCAGAGATGAGGCTGGAGGTGAACAAGGAAGACCATGACATTTTATACCAGAGCCTTATCCATCCACCCATCAACCCCATCTCTTACTTTCTCATCTGAGCCCAGGATAAACCACAATCCGTCCCAAACCAACCCACGAGTGTAGAGAGATCCTAAAAGCATCCTTATCTGAAAACTCAGGTGATTTCTACACTGCGCGCCAGATGAGAGACGTTCACTATACAATTCAACAGAGATAGACATATGAGAATCATGGGCTTTAGAATGTACACTTTAGAGGTCTAGTCTCAGGACCGAATGGTAGTATTGTGTCCCATACGTTATTTCTGTGCTCTCCATGGCTTCTGCCTTTAGACAAAATCAGATCGATGCAACTTTACAGATGCGTGTTCTCATCCAATCATTTAAGATTGGTGGTGTCTGTAAAACAAGGAATCTTTTTGTAAAAGTACATGAGAAGCCATTAGATCTTTCAAGTAAACGTTAATTTAAGCCATGTATGTTTTATAGAAATACATTGGGAAGCTGTATAAAGCTTTGTCATGGGGGTTAGACGGGTGCTTGATTCATTTTGATTGAAATACTGATTTGAAATGTCCAGTTTGAATTAGACTGTTGTGTTGAAACTCTTTTTCACTTTAAACGTGTGTATGTGTGCGTGTTTATGTATGTACGTCTCTTTATTGTTGTCCATGCTAGTGCAGAAATGGATTCTGAGGATTCCTCCAAAGCTGCTGCAACAGAACAATATTGTGATGATATTTTTATACATACATCATTGATAACGCATGGACTCATGCAACCTGCTAAGACGAAGATGGTGAAAATGTGCTACTTGTAAATGTGGTTTTTGAGATAAGATCATGCAAGTTTTCTCCAGAATAGCAATTTAGCACACCGTTCAGGAACTTGCGAGTCTCGTGTTCCTCCCTAGCAGTATTTATTGCACTTTCCAGTGCTGAATTTTTGCGGGGTTTTCAAATAGGACCACCAAAAGGAGGAATAAGATAGGCTGCTTCGATACAACATACCAAAAAAAAGAAAAGATGATCAAGGATGATGTGTTTGCTTGTATACATGCTTTGTGTGTGTGTCCTGCAAATGTCAAAATTGTTGCTGTGTATGAAGTAATATGCTGGAACTAAGTGCACCTTGGATTATGTACATGGATGCAAGAAAACTGCTAGTCTGGTTGTATTTCTCTATAAAACAAAAAGTAAAGCTGTTAACAAAATGGTTTGTCTCTGAAAATTGGTGGGTAAAAAAAAACTATTTTACTGGTAAATGATATTTATGAGCAAGAATATCTAATAGTGTGTGAGATGTGTGGCTATTTAAGTCAAAAGGTCTGGCAAATGTATTTTTTTTTTAAATTGTAAATTCATCACTTCTTGGCCATCAGTAGATTTTTGTAATCCGAAAGTTTGAATGTTGGACAGAAGTCATTGAATGTCTACTTCAGTACCCTTCGGTGCCACATGGGTGTGCTGCAGTCAATATATTACATTGATAATGGACATAAACTAAATTTTTGATGTATTACATTATAATATATGAACTACAAAACAAGTGCTGGAATCGAAAGCGGAGTTAAATAGTTATTAACAACCAAAACTTATTAGAAACTTGACTAATTTTCTGGTGACGTGATGGTGGTAGCTTAGTGGTTAAAGCTCTGAGTTGGTAACAGATGCATCTCAAGTTCTGTGTCAAATAAGTATGACCTTTGAACTGAAGGGTTAATGAGAAAATCCTGTGTCTAGTGTGTTCTTGAGCCAGGTACTTAACCTCAGGTTTTTCCTGGGCTGTGGTTTATAAAAATAACAAGTAAACAATCTGCCGTCAAGATTGTTAAATATGATTTTAATTGAATATCTTCATGCTTCCATAGTTGCACATCTCACAGAGAACAAATCGGTAGATTAAAACCGTTTTGAATTTAACCGCAAAGTCATTTTCATAATAATGTTCACCAAATCTGTGACGCGTTCATGTTATGTATAAGCAACATGTCCGATCAAGATTTCAATAACTGCTTGCATGACAAACCAATTTAATGTAATTTAGATGTTTAGTGTTTTTTTTTTTTTAGAAAGGTCTGGGTTTTATTTACACCAGATGTAAAAACAAAATGGCAGGTATTTTCATTAATTTTCCTTTTTGAATTTGAAGTGTCTTGAATGTCTTCCTGGGTATAATATTCAAATTACAGTTTAATCACAAAATGTTTCTGTGTGAAGGCCTAACAAAGAAAACAAGTTAATTTTTGGAATTTTAAATTGTTGGAAGATAACTGATAGAATAATTTTTTAAAAAGGTCAGAGACTTTAAGGCTTTATTCATTTAAATATCTTATGTTAGCAAATGATTAATGACAATTATGACACCTGCCACACTCAGTCTGCAGCACATTTAGTTACATTTGCTCTAAAATAATCTGCATAAACCTATTATACACTAGAACGTACATTTTTTTGATTTATTGATTTAGAGCAATATACAGTGCACAGTCTCAATGTCATCTGGTGTCTAACAAACAGATCTCCTTGTTTTTTTTTTATAAAAGAAAGACCCCAGGATATCTATGGATTTCTTTTCTTTTTTTGTTGTTTTAATTTCCCTGTTTTCGACATGAAATATTTGTCATGCCCTTTGTGTGTCTGTTTTGGTTTCTTTAATGAGTGGTACATTAATGTCAGTTCTTCTAAATAACAATCTAATTATTTTTGGTCTGAGTATCCTTTTGTATTAAAATGAATAAAGAAACTAGAAAACAACATGATTATATTCATTGAAATATTGTGTTTGTCTAAACACAGGACATTTACACTTTGTTTTCAGTCTACATTTTCTTTTAGAGGAACCAAAGTTTTTATTTATATATAAACTTTATTTAGGTAGCAACTACTAATAGATGTATCAATATAAATAATTTGCATAATGTGGCTGGGAAGTTACATTCAAAGTCTGAATCACAATGTTAACTGGTTTGTGCACCTGATTTGAGAATGACACAAGTGACTCTCACAAACGCCACGCGGTCTGATTGTACCCAGATTAAAGTTCATTGATGTGGGTCATGTAAGAAATCATTTTTCACGGTCCATTTTTATAGTTATCTGCAGTAGGCGATGGGCTGAATATTTATTCAAGTAACGCCCACAGTTTTTGAAAGGAGGGCGTTAGATTGAAGGGCGTGCGCGCCTCCTCCTGCTGAAGTCAGCCCATGCGCGCTCCCGTGCTGTGTAGAGTCGAATGCGGCGCTGCAAAGAGAGACCCCGAGACTTCAGCCCCCCTTTTCAACACGAAAATAACACGCATTTCGTCCTCTACGACCGTCTTCTGAGGAGTAACATTCTGCGCTAACTCTGTATGGTAAGAACAACCCATTTGTGTCTCCCTTTGTGGTTATGCTAGATAAAAAATCGCCGGTAGAAAAGCTGTTGATGTCATTTTTGCGCCTCCTTTTCTCGGTGTCTCAAAATGGCGGACGCGGCCGTTGGAGGAATACTTCAGCTTCTGTTTTTTCTTAATTAGTCGTGAATATATCGACAGCTCCAGCAGTGTGAATTATGTAACCGTATTTATTGCTTTAAATACAAGAAATTACCGGCCCGGGTCTGTAGTTTTAGCGGCTCGTTATAGGTGTATGTTGTCGGCTAATCAATACGTCGTTACATCAATGTCATGTTAGCTAGCAACAGTTGGCTAACACCCGTGTCAACACAAATCTCTATTTTATCATCTATAAACGTTAAGTTCAAGGTTGACCTTGCCGTATCCACTTCGGTTTGGGTAAATACATAAAAGTTACATCATTCATATTGTCGTTTTTTTTTGCATACCGGTTGAGAATAAGGGTGATGAGGGCTGTGTTTCAAAACCTAGTGAACTTCCAACCTAGACAGCATATTTGGGGTTAGATATGATTGTAACTACTAGCTAAACAGAAACGTTTAGTATTCAAACGAGCTTCAAATTGCCAAGCACCTTGGTTGTCTTTAAACATAATATGATGCTTAACCTAGACAACATATTTGTGCTATTACTTCAAGGTTATGAAAAACGAGACGTTTGACATTTATTAAGTGAGTTAAAGATCGGTACCTGTGCCGAGCTGGTCTCAAATGTAGGTCAGCTAATTCTTTGCATGCAGACCCGACACTGCTCATTCCGTTGATGGTCTGTAATGTTGTGATGTGAATGTGATTATCACTCCTGCAGTATATTTGGCCATCTTTATAGTCCAACGCGGTATGCAACAATAACGTTACATGCACTAATTTAACGACTGCATAACTAACAAAATCTTGCTAGCAGACATAGCCTAAACATGCTGAAGAGGCAGGTGTATGCATGTTTCTTATCAAGGTGTGAATGCTTTGAATAAATGTGGTACCGTGTGTACTTTGGATGTACTCTAATCGTTATGGTTTAAGCTATTGTGCCAAGTTTGCTGTACACTCCCTCTAGTTGTTTGACAGGTGTCATGTATGGTTGCAACTTGAAATCATGTTATAGCTTGAATTAAGTTCACTGAACAGCATAATATATACAATACTGTTGAAAAGTTTGGGTTTGGTAAGACTTTTTAATGGTGAGAATAAGAGTCTTCTTTCAAAAACAAGACTGCATTTATTTGATCAAACATACAGTAAAAACCCTAATATTAATCGCTGTGTGATTAATCAAAATTTAGTTTTGATTTAGCTATTAAAGCTTTAGTAACTTTAATACGAATCAGAGTATTTCATTCATACAGTACTAAAGACTGCAGTGTTTTATTTGTTGTCTATTTTTATTACTCGATTTCTCTAGTAGGCTTTTAACTGAATACTATAATGTTAGATAGATTTACAGGACAAACTTAAACGTGTCTTTTTTCTGTTATTTTTGTTTGTAATTTTCTTCTTTGGTTTTACTGTATTACTGTTTGTTTGTTCCTTCAACAATTGGACTTTTTTACTGATTAGTATTAGTTTCTGCAGTGATACCGAAATTGGTATCAAGAATTGTGAAATTTCACTCGTATCTAAAATTTTGATAGCATAGCAATAACCTTATTTCCAACAAAATATACCCGTTATAAATCGCTATCGGGGAAAAATTAGGCTACTCCTATGTGAGTATGAGTCATTATAATTACTCGTTTGGTCATATCACCCACTCCTAATCGTGTTACATAACCATGATTATTTTGGTCAATTGTAATCACGATTGTTTTTAATCGCACAATTTTATCCCCTGTATATTATTAAAATTTTATATAACTACTTTAAATTTGAATATATTGTTTATTAAAGTAATTTATTCCTGTGATGTCAAAGCTGAATTTTCAGCATCATTACTCCAGTCCTCAGTGTCACATGATCCTTCAAAAATCACAATATGCTGATTTGGTTCTCAAGAAACATTTCTTTATTATATTAATAGTTTTTTTTTAGGATTCTTTGAATAAAAAGTTCAAAATAACAGCATTTATTTGAAATACAAATCTTTTTTGACATTATAAATGTCTTGACTGTCACTTTTGATCTATTTAATGCATCCTTGCTGAATAAAAGTATTAATTTCTTTAAAAATAATTCAAAAATGTTTTAATGTACTGCTTCATTGTGATCTCAAGTTAGTCACGTCTGGTCATCTTTTGAACTCTGTGCCATTCAGATGTGCTGCTACTCAACATTCCCTTAGTGGAAATGTTTTGTGATCCTGCAATTCCATTAAGGGAATGTGAGAAATTATTACAAGTCCAAGCTTTTTTGGCAGTCTGTCTTTGCCAGCTTGCACATTTTCAGAAAGAGGGATGTTTCCTTTTGCCATCTGTCTTAAACTAAAGAATCTATTGAATCGACAGACTTGCAGGCCTGTTTTTGGGGTTTGAGATGCACAGAAAAGGATGGAAACAGATTACACTTTGCTTTTTTTTATTTTTTATCATGCAACATTTGTGCTATGTTAGTCTAGCCTAAGTCCTTGTTCAATATCTCTCATTATCTCTTTATACTAATAAACAAACAGCATAAACCAGAATACAGCAGATGCTAGATTTCTTTGTTTCATTCTTTTTCTTACTAACATGCTCTTGTTAGTGCTCTGCATTGGTCTTTTTATAGCAGTAACGGATAATCACTACTGGACTGTTTTGCCTCAGTTGAGTGGTTCGGCTGCACACAGACAGACGGTTGCTAGAGACCCCTCCAAGCCCTTGGCTGAAATAACGCAGGATAATTGTGTGTTTGTGGAGTCCCAACAGGCAGTTTGTAATGACTAGGATGGAGGTGGCGTGGCATGAAGTACTGTTACTGTGGGTTTGGTTTGCTCACTGGATGTGCGTCTGCAAAGAAGCAGCCATAATGCGTTTCGGTGCCAGTGGGGATCGGTAATGCATTCACCATGGCAACTAAAAGCTCCACTGTTTGATATGTGAAATGTAGATTTCAAGATGGTGGTCAGTTGGATAGATCAATAGCATCTTGTCCCTGTTTTTGATTCAGTCTACATGCTGAAATGGACAGGATTATATGTTATGGCTCAGTTTGGTACGAAGTATGACTAAGGCCTGTGAGTTTGAGAATTTATAGGCTTATAACTACTTATACTGCTTATTATTTGTGGCCTGAACCTGCTTCTCTGACCCTAATCTAATTTTCAAAGATTACAGTTGGTGTTGCAGAAGTCTCAAAGCACTTTCTCATATGAAATTGTAGTTGAAGCAATAAATGTAGTGCCTCTAGTAAATTGGGTCTGCTTGAATTGGATTCCCTCACCTGCTGTTAATGTTTTGCATGACAAAGACTGAAAAAGCTACTATGACTTTACATGTCCTATTTTAATTAACAGTTAAAAGAAAAGAAGGGGTAGATGGAAGATAAAGAGCTCTTCTTGCTCTGCATATCATTCACATTCCTGGCATCTTGTCCAGCTGCCCTTGCTGTTAAGAGAAAAAATGTCTTGTGCACTGTGCATCACATGTAGGCTAACGTTGCTGGGATTGGCAAGCCTGCTGAGGCTGTCATGATATGGTGATTTGATTTCTGCTTCTCTGTATTTTTCAGTGATTATCTGATCCGTTTTAATGACAGGCCTGTCAGCATATCAGAGCCTCTTGAGTTGATCATAGTTCAAGTGGTGCTTAGGTTCTGGCAAATTTACAGAGAAACATTTGGCTCAGCAGGTCAATTGCTGATAGTGATAAAGTCTGTTCTCTTACTCTTGTTAATAATATTTTGTTTGAAAGCACTTTAAGCCATTCAACTGCTGTTGTTTTTTTGGTCTCTACTCAGGCTCTCTCTGGCTCAGTGCTGAGCCTGTCAGATTTATGTGTGGAATGTCTTTGAGTGTTTAGGGCTCGGTTGAGGAATTCTGTGTGCTGCCGTCTTGTTCATCATGAGTAGTACTAGACCCTCTATAGAAAGATCCAACGCACTCGCCCGTTTCTCCCACACCCGGCCCTGAACTCGCCGCATTAACCATATAACTGCCGGTGCAAAATAAAACAGCAATTTCACAACAATTATAAAGAGTCTGTGCGCCACAGTACTTTGATTATGGTTGCACTTGCACTTATGGCTCGTTTCCACTGAGGCGTACGGTACGGTACAGTACAGTACGGTTCGGGTCGGTAAACCATGATCCGGCTAGCGTTTCCACTGCCAACAGTACCCTTACTTGATAGGCGTGGTGTTTGCCGGAAAGAAGCGATCGACGTCATTTTCGCGCGAAGAAAAAAGCGACATAGTAAACAACAATGGATGACAGACAGCAGATCTTGTTCTTGCTTCTCGGGATGTTTGTCACAAGAAACAAGCGCTGGCATTAGGCGTTTCTCAATACCAAGTAGCCACGCAAAGTCCGACTCAGGAGAATGATCCCGAGGACGCGAGTCCAGTAATTCTGCTGATGGAACAGCGTGTTCTTGAATGCGCCACTCTGCTCGCTCTGCTGCTCCGGTTATATACATTTTAGGCAACAATAAAACGAAATATGTTATAAAACACCACTCTGCTTCTTTTCGATTTAATTTAAATACATTTTAAACATTATAAGCACACAAATGTGGTTCAGGCAACGCATAGACTATTGATTATAATCACTGCATGTATGTAACGTTATATTTATAACAAAACTAAATATAAAACACAATCCTGCCTCTTTTCGTTTAAATTTAAAAATATTAAACATATTCCAGGCAATGTATTGCATATTGCATTGGTACAAATGTTGCAATAAACAACATTACAGATGATCTTGTAATAAAATAAAAAAATGACAAAACTATCTATTTTTGTTGAATTTCAGTTTTATCAATAATAGCCATTATAAAAGTATAAGTAAAAGGTACAAAAAGATATACAGTAAAGCTTTAATAACAT